TGGGATGCCACGGAGAAACCGGGGAAGCCCCCGGAGGAAAACTCCGTGTTGCCTAGACCACGGCCTTGCCCAACACAAGTTATAAATTCGGGCACCGCCGGGAATCGAACCCGAGACCCCAGGATTACAAGGCCAGCGTTCTAACCGCTAGACCACCGTGGGGGTTACTGTTGCATGTGCAGATTAAAATCAGCGAAACGTAACTGAAAGCTACATCCATTTTACGCGTCTTATTGTGATTATTGTCAGAAAATATACTTAAGGAAGAGATTCCATCATACACAATATTTTATTCATACTGAAATGTATTACTAGGCCCTAGGCTTTTGAGTGTGAATAAAATATTGTGTATTCAATACATTTGTTAATTGTATTCCACCTGTATTTTTATGTCACATCGTACGTAATTAAAATGTGAGACATGACTTTGTCATGTTCTTCCCATGTGTTTATTTTCCTGTAACATTATTTTTGCCATGTCTCATTTTCGTTATATTCTGATGTTCCATATCTATCATGTCAGTACAGACAACACTGAAAATCAAAGAAAAAGTCTTCTATCTTACTTTCGTGGTTTAGTGGGACGGAAATTGATTGGAACACAGCGGAACCATTTAAATAAAATGTATTGTTAGCCAGCTCTGCCCAGGTAGCACCGAGCCACAAAAGTAGGAGAGACGACTTTCTATTTTAGTTTTTCCAAAGTTAGCCGTCTTAGCCCGGCTAACACCGTTAACATGGACGATTAGCCCGGGCGTACATCATGTTCTGTATTACTGATGGTTCGCGGCCACGATTCTTTGTTTCTCTTTCATGTTTTTTTAAAACACATTCCCGTTTGTCGATCCATTTCTTCCCTATGTAAAGTTAGTTCACAGAGTCGTTGAGTGCAAGTTGAACTCACTCGTGTCTTGCAAACGTAGCCACGGTCTTCTGTCAGGTGTTCGAAGGTCAGTGCCCCGCGTAGGCCGAGCGAACTCCGTGTTTGTCCTTATAAGGCCAAGCAGCCGTGCCTGGAGGCTCGGAGCCCAGAAACGGCTGGCACTGACCTAGGGAAAAGTGTTGAAACGATGTATCAACTGCTGGTAAGTTATAAGGCGATGTGTTGCGTGGCCCGCATTACATCATCC